TCTTTCTTTCTTTCTTTCTTTCTTTCTTCCTTTCTTTCCTCTCTCTCTCTCTCTCTCTCTCTCTCTCTCTCTCTCTCTCTCCTCCCCCCTTACTTTAATACAGGTTTGGAAAAAAAAAAAAAGACAGACTTCCTAGTGTTCATGCACATAAGCTGCCGTGTCCATTCTTTAATCCTACAGAGATATGATTAAAGGAACAAGATGCTTGGGGGATCAAATCCTTCAACATGGGATAAGTGAGTGGGGCTACCCACAGTGGAGGGGTCTAAGTGTACTGTTTCTCCCCAAAGTATCAGTCTTCTAAACTCTTCCTCAAACAAAACCCCCAACAAAACAACACAAACTAGCCAAAATGATAAAAGTTCATGCCTTGCCAGCTGTGGTAGATATTCCCTGCTCCAAAGCCCAAGTTTTCTCGCTCTTGCCTCCTCTTCTCTTTGACCCTTTCTGCTAGCTCTCTCACCATAACTCAACTAACCCAACAGAACCAGTCAGTTTTAAATTTCAGTTGGGACCTTGGTGACCTGTTAATGAATCTACAGAGAAGAGAAAAACTCACAGTGTTGAGTTATGCCTGGTGTTGCTAGCTGACTTGGAGTCAGAAATGCTTGAAGCGTTAACGTAATTGCAAGAATGTGAAAAATGAAGCTCTGGGCTCCTGAGCAAAGTGAAAGGTCAAAGGGAGCCTCACACCGGAGAAGTCTCTGGAAGATAGCCTCATTAGGCCATTAAGTCTGCTTTTCCTTCCCCCCCCTTTCCTGAGATGTTGAAGGTGTTTTGTTTTTATTAATAGATATGTTTCACCCTTTGTGTTGCCCTAACTTGGGGTAGTGGGGAGGGTAAAGTGATTGAAAGCTTTCTGCATTTAACCCAGGGTGACATGGAACCGTAGTCAAATCACTGCATTGCAGATTCATTGAATCTAGGTACAAGATACCTTCAAAACGTCTTAGAATTTAGTTTATTTTACACATAGTTTAACTGACATACTAAAACCATCATACATATACCTCACAAGTTCTTTCACGACTTGCCATTTGAGAGTGTGTCATGTGTGGGTCACAACTTGTTTAAAAGACAGATTCTAATTGGGATTCACTAACAAGTGAATGGCATCCTAGATTCTCACTGGACAGAAACTTGCAGGAGGGTAGACACTCACCCGGTGCCAACCACCCCCTTTTAAATGGCATGTATAACTACTGTTCAAGCTGTTAAACAGTCTTTGGCTTGGAAGTCTGTCTAATGCTTAAATACTGTGGCCATAAACACTGTCATAATAGAGATGAAATAGACCTAGGAGATCAGATACCATCTAATGTAAAATATTAAAAAGTAAAATCTATACACTTTCCTGGACCACATTCAATAATGCATCTTCCTTTAAATGATCATTTTAGCCATAGAAGAGTCATCCCTACCAATATATAATTGCTCTCCATGTGCTAGGTGAGTTGTAAATGGTAAATTCAGTCCCAATTGCAGAAGGCTTCCTTGATACGTGCAGTTGTAACCCCCTTTGCCCTCTGATTTTTCTAAAAAAAAATTTTAAGAAATTGAATTTTTAAGGAATTACTATGTCAGCTGAATGGAAACAGGGCCAAACAATGTCTAAAAATTTCAAAACCCATCTTCTCAAGATAAGAAGAGTGTGTATAAATTTCTCCCCAGTATTTCTAGAGTTAATAAGAACAGATTTTTGTATCTTACATGTTTTAGAGGTATAATTACTTTAATTATAGAGAACTCTTATAGTAGATATTACAAACAAATATCCTGGTTAGAGTATAATTAAAACTACAGAATTATAGCAGTTAGGTAGGTCTGCCCTTCCATTTACTTACATATACCACAGTAGTGTAGATAACCAAATTTGTAAGAGAATTGGCAGAACTAATCAATTGTTATTGCAATGCATATTTAAAGATTAGATGGTTCCTTCTGACTTTTTGTAAGTAAAATAACAAGAGGAAACCCTGTCTTCCCAAAGAACAGCTGATAGTATAGGCAACCAACCCCTCCTCTGTTTACACAGAGGCAGAGGACTGATATCACAAAATACTGAAGTTATTTTGGTCATGCCTACTTTTGCACAAGGAAAATGCTTGACCTTTTACCTTGTTCACTGCTGTTGTCTCCACTCTGGGAAGCATGGCCCCCACTGGAGGGTCCCGGGGTGCCTGCTGAGTGAGTTGAGGTTGCATCATCGTGGTCTCGCCAAGATGAAGGGTTCTGATGTCAGGATGCCAAGCAATTTTTTCCCACAGTTACCATTTGATCCATAATCAAGGAACCGTGAGGACAGGCACAGAGGGAAACAGAAAAATGCATACATATTAGTATTTGAGGAAGGGGCCAAATGCATGCACTTTGTTAAGCTGAGCTTTTCAGTTACATCAGTATATACATTTGTTAAAACTAACTGAAAAACCGCCCATTTTAAGTGGGTATATCTTACTCTACACAAGTTTAAAGTGCAATGAAGTTAACCTCTGAAGTAAGAAAAACTGCCTTGAAATGTCTTTTTTACTTTTTCTATCTGAATTAGGGCACATTCTTCTGGTGCTTTTGAATGCTAAATACATCAGAACATTAGCATCTCCAAAAATCCAATGCTTGCTTAAAAAAAAAAAAAAAAAAAAAAAGCACAGGATCAAGAATGTGTGTGGCAGCCCTTTACGCCCTTCTGATTCGTTACCCTAAAATAGTCTGTATGAACTCTCCAACTGTCATCAACTGGAGGATTATATAACCAGCAATATTAATCAGAACTAATCACGGCATCAATACCTCATACATTACCAAACCATGCCTAATTTGCATAAATGATAATTTTTAAAATGAAACACATAAGGGCTGTATGGTATGGCTGTATGGTAAGCTTAGATGGGACTTTCACTTGAGCTCAAGGGAGCTTTAAGTGACCAAGTAAGACTTTTTCTGGAGGAACTAGTTATTTCGAAGGACTGCAAGACAAACCTGGAGGTACACCCCATGCAACTTTGCTGATATATTCCTCTCCTGTTCTCCTCCCCTTTCCTGATCATTCCCAATACCCCCACTGTTGCTTAAAGGGAAACAGGAATTCTAATGTACAGGAAGGACTTTATCAGCACCACATGAAGGCAGGCAAGAGATGGAATTTCCTCTGGCAGACACGGAGGGCAGGAACCACACATGAAACACAGTAGCCTTAAGGCCAAAGCTGTACACTTGTCACCTGTATGCTACAACTTTGACTAAGCCTGCAGACCTACAGGCAAGTGAATTATTTAGGGGTGAGGGTGGAGGGCATGGGACAAAATTTTAAAGAAATGACAGTCTCTCAATACTACTGCTTTGTACTAGAATTGGCAAATAAAAATTCCAACCAGACATGGACCACACATAAACCACTTGGCTATGTGAAAGTCATCTTATCATCATACCACAACATATAGTTTGTTAGGAAAAAAGCCAGTCTGTCATTTTCTCAACATTAACTCTATAATGTATATTCAGCACACGACATGCCACTGAAATAAAACTAAAATCCAAGCTGAGATAAACGGAGGAAATAGTCTTACTTGGAACAACAGAAACAGACCATTTTCACCTATAGATCTGCCATTAATAGACTGTGAATTAATATTTGGAATTTTGATAAATGGTGACATAATCCAGAGCTCTGTGATCAACAACATTGATGTCAAATAATGCTACTGACAGTGCCATCAAGTAGCTATTGATTTAAAGTAAACTCTTTGAGTAGAAATTTCATGACTGTAAACATGGCTCAGGTTCAGAGCTCTAAAATAAAGATGTGATACAGAAAGAAGATTAAGGAATCAGATGGGCATGGAGGCTCATACCTATCATCCTAGCATTTGGGAAGCTGAGGCAGGCGACTGCCATGAGTTTGAGTCTAACCTAGGCTATATAGTAAGATGCTGTCTCAAAGAAGGAAAGAAAAAAGAATGAAGGGAGGGAAAAAGGAGGCAGGACAGGAAGGGAGGGAGGAAGGAAGGATTGATTAAGATTGATTATTTAGTACAAAAAAATAAAAACCAAATTCTCTAATTGCTTTGCAGTTTCTTCACATCAGGTATCTACTGGATGGTAATCAGATAGAAAGCTCTAAGAAGTACAGGGGTAGAGGAGAGGATTGTCATGTGTGTTTAGTCCCGCAACAGCTCCAGCATACTTCCCCTGAGCTAAACTTTGCAGTGTACACAGCCAGTGATGTTAATTTTATGCACTGCGGGCTTTTTATTAAGCCAGCTGCTATAAAAGCTCCTTATCCCTCATGAAAATTACAATAATTAACCACTAACACCTCAACTATGTTTTAAGGCAAATGTCATCCAACGGCTATTATATAATCGTTCCGATAAAGCTGGAGCAGGGCTTTCTGTTCAGGCGCTGCTGTGATTTGAAGGGTTCTACCCAAAGAACTTTGAAACTGCAAACATCGGTCTGTCCCTATCAGTCAAACCCAGACTAAGTTTTAAAGTCAGGCCTTATTAATTCATAATTCGGGGTGTTTCAGTGGCTTTCTGGAGCAGGTGTTTTCTAAGGCACAAGGGGGAACAGGAAGCCACAGTTGCCAACAATACTCTAAGAGCAGAGTTCCCTCAAACAAGTTAGGTCTTCAATTTTCATCACAGTCACCAAATTTCCTCAAATCATCTAATCTGCCATCCCCTACAACTTCCCTCTTCTCCTCACCCATCTGAAGAAATGCTCTCTTGAAAGAGCACCACTCCCATTTCCATAGCATCTCCTCACTGTGTGTCCAGGAAAAGGACTGAAGCAAACTAAGGAGTGAGACACAGGAGTTATCTAGTTTGAAGAAAGGACAGTTCCTTCTGGGAAATTCCAGGGTAGGGAGTCACCCCCAAGATGACGGCATGCAGCTACACATGGTGATGTGATCATATATAAAGAAACACATGGGTAATCTTGGGCAATATTTTAAGAAAAAGTCCTCCTTTATCATAAAAAAAGTAACCTACACAGACAGCATAAAGTGTTACCCATAATGCTGCTTTTTCCCTTAGATTGGAATATTTGTGTGTATCACAACTCCTTTTTTTTCCCCCTGCTAGATAGTTTCCAAGCTTACATCCTTCAAGAATAACCTGGCTTTCTGCCAAATTATAAGCAGAAGTTTAGTGAATCCTGAACCAACGTGGCATACAAAAGCATGTAAAAACACATGACGTATGCAGAAAAATAAAAAAGAATTGCTGTCTGTGTGCATGAGTGTAGACGAGTGTTCAAGTGTATGCATTCCACAATATACGCCCTGTTCTCCAGCCAAAAATACCATGAAGACACCCCAGGGCAAGGAGGGAACATGATTCTATTCCCAGCGGCTTTAATAATTGGGAATCAAAGATGGAACTCTTCTTGCTCTTTACGTAATTGCGTTAAAGAGCAGTGTTACCAGGAGAAAAGCAGTGAATACTGAGTGGTACACAATAGGAGATGGGAAATAGATACAAGAAGCTCCGTCTCCAGGGGCAGTATTTTCTATTTGCTGGGCTACAGACTCACAGCTGATAATGCAAGTTGTAATTAATATAAAAGCAGGAGACAATATGGGCAGAGCTTGTAGGAGCAGGGCCACAGGAGAGCGCTCTGCTGCTCGCCTTGGCTTCTCATTTACACAGAGCTTTCCCTAGAAAACACAATCCTGCCAGTGTTTTCTCCCTTGAAAGTTAAAGGAAAAAATTGATTTAGCACCATCATTGAATTTTGCTAAATCTAGAAAAGCGCACAGAGAGGACAGGAGTCTCTGGTCAGAGAAGCAAATCCTCCCTGCACTTCTTTTGTTGAGGTTGCAGATAGACTACAATTGCCACACTTTAAACCAGAATGGCACTTCTGTGATGGACCTGCCTATAGGATAGTACTTAATAAGTCCTGGCCAATTGGTGGTGTTTCCTGTGTCAAAAGATTCCCCATAGTGCATGCTTCATTCATGGGGGTCACTGGGGCAAAATGTGCAAGAGTTTCTAAATAAAACAGTAAAAGTAAAAGCCTATTAGGCTTTAGGGAAAGAAATCTATGTCACAAACAAGAGTTGACTAAAATAATCTGAACTCATTTTGTAGACTCCCCATGAGAAGGTTATTCATTAGATGTGGGACAGGAGAGAAGACAGAAGATTCTTGGGCCCCCCACCTCTAAGAGGTCATGTGACCAGGAGTAAATGCTGCACTGGAGTTTTTTGTTTTGTTTTGTTTTTTGGACTCATTTCCTTTATCTCTTTACAATAAGAAGTCACACGATGTAATTCTGAAGGTCACTTCCACTTATTTCTAGTATGAAAAATAATTTCAAAATAAACACCTTATTTTTCTAGAATCCATACAACTAAATAACATCAAGTAATATATAACAGGAAAACATAGTAAGTTAATTCAGAAGACATGCTCATAGCTGGAGAGTAACAGTAAACACAGCAAAAAGGTATCTTAATCAGCTAAAGAGGCACACAAACTCATTTGAATAGATGCACTTAAACTACAAAAGGAAGATATATTTGTATCAATACACGTAACTAATATTAAGTTACTTATTTTCTATGACTTTATGATGTTTTAACTCTTAGTTAACAGAGTAGAAAATAATGATTTTTTAAAAAATGAAAACTGCTATCTGGGGGCATTCAAGTATGCAGAAGTTTAAAATGTTAATTGTAAGACTAGAATAAATGTTGAAATTTCAACTTAGTTATTCTGAAGTTGACCAAGAACTCAGGAGACCTCTGTATGCTTTTAGAAGTCAGACACTTTAATAATGAAATAGAACGGGAAACTGCCTCAACTCCCCATTCGCACCATTTTATCAATCTTTTGGAATTAACACACCTCACGGAAGTGCTGAACATCCTTTGCAAACGATTCCTCCATTGAATGGACCAACTTTCAGAGAAGACAGAAATGCATTGTTAGTGCAATGTGTGTTATAAAACGCTTTCTATAATTTCAAAGTGTGCTGAGATATCCCATAGACCATTCAGTATGGAAACAAACAACCCAATGACTTCAAATAATACCACATCTGTTAATATCATGGTGAATGTCTATGTGGCTGTCAAGTGTACCTATGTTTCATTTCACCAGTTACACTGGAAACATACTCCAACATCACAACTGAAACTATTTAAATAGTGTAAATATTCTTAATGAGAAATGAACAGAAAGCTGCCCACAACCAGAAACTTCGGCAGCAATGGTAACAGAAAACTGTGCTGTCCTTTAGGCCTCCTTAAGAAGGTACACAGAGCTCTGGTCAAACTTTCCCACAGTGGGTCCCAGAGACTTTGCACAGAGTATTGCCCTGCCATCTTATCTCACACTACAATGTGAGAGGCTAACAGATAAGAGAAATCATTTATCTTATTAAAGTTGCTATCAAATATCATTATTCTCCCTGATTGTCAATAGGCCAACTGCTCAAACCTAAACTTCTCTTCACTGTCATCATATCTAATTTTTTAGGTAATAATAGAATTTATCTACCAGCACTTGGCTGTATTCTGTCAAGAACAAGGCTCTAGTGATTCTCTTCACTGACCTAACCCATTAAAAAACTATATAGATGTAAATATACTTGACATATTCAGAAATGCAAAAAATAACACCACATGTTCATTCAAACCAGCATAGAAATGAAAAATAAATTTTTTTATTAATGATGTTATCAGAGGGCCAACCAATTTTAAGGCACCTGTATTACCATATCAATAGACATAACTATATTTTCTTTCCTTTATTTCTTTCCCCAAAAAATAAAATACAGCTTCTCAGGACTATTAACTAAGAATAACCATATAATGGTATAACTGCATATACTTCAAGCAAATAAAGTATAGCTAAGAGAATATAATTCAAAAAGTTTATTTCAGTTGCCTAAACCTGGTATAAAAGTACATAATATCTTTTTGTATAAATATGATGGTTAACTTTATTTGTTTGTGCTACACCCAGAAAGTGGCTCCCAATTATATAAAATAGAAAATTTGTACATCGTCTATTTTTCTGTACAACAACAGTCTAGGAAAACACAATTATTTCACAACTTTCCAAGTTGAAACTCTAAAAAAGAATTGCTTTCTTGACATGTTTATTTTAAACATGATAAATTTGAATGTCTGGGAAACTTAACATTAACTGCAGCTGGAAAACAGCTCTGTTTCCTTTGACTATCATATATTTTCCCTTCACAGTATTCCAAAGAATATTATCAGAGCCATTTGCTACCTACAACTATCATCCTTATGTTACAGGAAGAGTATGAGACAAAGCATACTATTATATTAAAAAGTAAGCATGTCCTGCAAGTTTAATAAACACAGTAGAGCAGCCAAAGTTTCACATTTTATTTTTTCCTTTCCTTCCAAACTTCCCCTTATCATTATGCAAGTCCTGCTTGTTAATAATAAATGAACAAGTCCAGTATTCTCTGAATGCAAAGAATGGAAGGCAAGACCATTACGTGTCTTCTTCATGCCATATCAGAATACTTACATCCATTATGGAATGTGAAATTAGCATGATTTACCCAATAACAGTATATAAAAGTCATTCTTAAAAGTCTGTCTGCTGAGAACACTGGCTTCGAAGATATTTACTCAACAACCTTTATTTATTAATATTTTCAAGACTTTTCATAAGACAATTGAGAACCGTATTGGTACTTTGTATCTTGCCCTGGATACTTCTTTCTTGGCTTTCCATTACATGGAATTAAAAAGTTATTCTTTCTTTTTTTCTTTCACTCTCTCCCCTTGCCTACTCCTTCTTTAAACACACACACACACACACACACACACACACATACACACACACACACACACACACACAGCTTGATATCACTTAATAAGGATAGAGGTGTATGTGTTTTGGGGGTGTCAAACAGCTGTCACAAACTGTCACCTCCACAAGAGAAACCTTGGCACACAACACATTAAACTACACTTCTTTTTAGCTGTCATTATTCATAGTCAATAAGTTGAAATGATCTCAGCATTTCATGTGCAAATAAAACCACGAGGTAGCTCAGTAGATCAGAATAGTGGGCCAACAGATAAAGCAGAGAAAACAACAGGCTGTCTGGGTGTTTCTGAAGTGGCTGATCATCACCCCTGCACCAGCATGCAGCAAATGAGATCCAGCCTGGGGCAATGTATTAAATATGCATATCAAAGCAAATGAAAAAACTAAACCTGAGGACTCAGATTGGACACATTTACATGTTGGAAATGTCCGTCCGTCCCGTCCCCCGTCCCCCCCCCCCCCCCCCCCCCCCCCGCACATATCACTTTTCAGGTGGTGGTTCTGTGGTCTCATCCCTCTTTTCTGGCTGAGGGGGTAAGGGAAGAGAAGTTGTAGGAATGGTTGAAGAGCCTTGGAGGATGCAGTGTAAGGTCAGAGGGGGTGGCCCAGAAATGAATGCGGTCAATATGCCTATGGTACCAAGACAACGGTGCGGCCACTCCAAGGTTTTCTTTCTCATCCTGCATGAAACACAAGCATGTGGCAGACCTCTCCATTTCCCACTCAGTGTGCTGGTGGAACAAATTATTTCTTCATTTCAAAACAAATAGCAGGGGGCTAAAGCAAAAATGCTATAGTTCAGACCCCTAAGAAATAAAAAGCTTTAAATTATGACGCCCAATGAGGTGGCAAGCCCTCATGGATTCAAAATAAATCAGTTGTCATATTTACTTGATTGGGGGCTTGAAAGGGTAGCAACAAATGACACCGTTGATTCTTTTATCCAAAGATGATGATTGTTAAATTATTAAAACACCATTCACTTCAGTACAATTTCCTTGAGTCTATATTTAAATATTACAATAGTTCCATAAATTGGCACTGTGCATCAGCCAATACTCTAAACAGCATAGTTTATCTTATCTCTTCTACATAAAAATCAGCATGCTCTAAACTCCATACATCCACCCAAACAACAGTGGCCAAGAAACTGTTTTAGAAAACCAAGTAGTCATGACCCCATAAAAATGCACAAGAAGAGCTTTTGGCACAGAGAGAATTAAGGGATCTTTCATGCTACACACCACATAAATACATCCCTTTCTATGCCCCCCCAACAATGTAAATGCACCGGAATGCAGAAACAGAAAGCAATGAAAATAGGTAAAGAACAAAAATAAATACATATTTATGAGGCTAACATGCCTCTTGGACTACAAGCACACATATCATAGAATGGCAGAGAAGCGAAGAAACTTTTAATAGCTGCTACACCCTTTTGATTTCATTTAATACATGCAATATACAAAACAGTCCTGGGACCATTTCCCTCACAGCCTTGGAAACAGGTAAGAAGTACAGGTGCAGAAGCTTCTAGCACCACAACATTTATTGTTTCAGAACTGAACATCTCAAGCTAACATTTTCTTTCATATTTAAAAACTTTTAGGCTGGCTTCTCATGTAGTAGAAAGCTGAATCTTGACAAGCAATGGCTGTTTATTTTCAAAACTTTTGATGGGTGGAGGGGGAGAACTCCCAGAAAAGTTATTCCTTAGGTAGCTCAATTCATTTCTTAATACTCAGGAATTTGGGGGTGAGGAATACAAACTGCTTTCAACCCTCAATGTCTATTTAACTCCTTCAGGGTGTTAAATTAATACTTCAACCACGAAGTTCTCCAGACTTCAGGCTATTATATCTCTGAGGTTGTGAGTTCAAATGAATGTACAGACACTGTGTTCCCCACCTCCAGGCTTGAGCGCCTATAAATAAACTGCTATTCACACCCACTCTTTCAACCTCTCCACTCTAGACTTCTCTACCAGCTGCAATCTTTCTTTTTGCTTCTTTTTTCCTGGATCCCTTGGAACTGGAGTTACGGACAGTTGTTAGCTGCTATGTGGGTATTGGGATTTGAACCTGGGTCTCTGCAAGAGAAGCCAGTGCTCTTAACCACTGAATCATCCTTCCAGTCCTGGTATCTTGATTTTTTTTTTTTTTTTTTTTTTTTTTTTTTTTTTTTATCAGACTCACTAGATCAGTTCCAAAATAGGATTAAAAACAGAAAGAATAGAAATCTCCTTTCCTGGCTTGACATCCATAGTCATCCCTTACTTACTCTATATCCTCAGTCACCAACTGCTAAAGTGTTAAAATTCAACCACTAACCTACGGTTACTCAATCTTAATTCCCTTCAGCTTTCTGTAACACAGTGTTAAAAATTGGTTCATCAAGGTTACTACCGTCTTTTACTAGGAAGATGCTTCAGGCACTTGGCAATTAGTTCATATTCTGACAATAAGTTTCTGTGAGCAAAAGAAATCCTGAAGATTGTAATGTGTTCATTCACTCCTTTTATTTCTAATGCAATGCAAAATTGCCAGTAATTCTCAGGATTGTCATCTTGGGACAGAAATCAGCCCTAGTTCCCCAATTCTCTCCTTCAGTCTATTCTCCCCCTCCCCTTCCTGTCCAGCTAACTGTCTGTCTCTTGCTATCTCCGCTGCCCTGATTACACAGAGTAAGAAACCAGAAAAGACAGAGGTCACCATATCAAAAAGGGAATTTGCTAACACTCAAGTCACCAGATCCAGGAAACTTTACACATTAAGAGCACAAATCACTTTATCAACTCCCGGTTTCTTTCACTCTCAACATAAATAAAGAGGGATCCAAGAAAGGGGAAACAAAATAAAGGGTGCAACAAAAGTAGTGAAAAGGGGAGACAAAGACTCCAGAAGAAACCAATCATTTATAGAGAAAACTAAATCAGTGAACTAGATATTGCAAGTCGCTTAGAAAAACGCTTTGCCCAGTGGCCTTCAAAACACGCCACGGGCTCTGCACACTTACGTGGTCAGCGAGATTTGTGGATGATCCCGAAAGTTCTTCATGATCTGACTTGGAACTGCCATCCCTCTCGTCAATCACAAGGTCGATGGGCATCTTTCCCTTCAAACAGCTGATGTACCGGTGGCAGAAGTTATCACATAATTCGTGGACCTAAGAAGGGGTCATGATGGAGAGTTCAGCTCATGTTGTTGTTATGTTTCATTTTTAAAGAGGAAGACTATCAGGTTGCAGGGTTACATTTGCAAAGAGCAACAATGTGATGTCTTCCCAAGTAACTCTAATTAAGGGGTGTAAGCATTGAAGGCTAGGAAACAATAGAGCAATTGTTGCAGGAGGTATTATTCACCAGAGACTTCTCAGAGCAACAAGTTACAATGAAGAAAGAAACTGGACTGGAAGTAACTGGGTTCAGGCTGGGAGAAGAGAGGAAAAATCTAAGTTGATAACTTAGAAACATTAAAGAATTGGGACTAGGGACAGCAGCAGCATTTGTGATCATGTACTTTAGGCATTTTGTATGTTTCCTAGGGAAAGTGATTGTGTTGTATATCAATGTGAAGACACCCTAGAGAGGGTGATTTTCTCTGCTTGCACCCAGTGTGCAACTCTGGTCCCAGGGTGAGCTGAGCTAATAGAGACATAATAGATGTTGCGCCCAGTAACACAAATGGCTCTTGCTTATACTTAAAAATATTCCTGAGTGCCTAGAGTTGGGGGCTGCTTTAAAGGCAGGGCTGCTTTGATTCATTCATCCTCTGAGCCTCAGGGTTGAGAACTCTTTAAAGTAGGACTATGCATGCTCAACATCTCCAGGTGTGCAATCTCTCATCCTGGAGGCTTGTAACATACCATAAGTCAAGTAGTGGAGGGAATATAGGGTGATCAAAATGAGAACTGTTATTTCCTGCTTACCTTTTCTAACTCCAAAAGATGAAACCTTAGTACTTGTATTGCTTGTATCATCTGAAAGGGAAGTTTAAGAGGATGAGGTTAGGGCTCTGACACTTGTAAGACCCTAGTGGGGTTGTTAAGGGAATTGAACACCACGGGAGGAAGAAAACGGCAGGTGGCCAGGCAAAACCCACACATCAAGAAATAGGGAAACCAAGTGATTACTGATCATCACTGACTCATTGGCCACAGGGGTGGGAATCTGTCTCAACCTGGGCCTCAGTATTAATTTCTTTCCCCTGGCTCTCACAGTGCTATTTGCAAGGCTTGCTTTCCACTGGTCAGGCCTTTCTCCACCAGAATCCACCTTAACCGTTCCCTCCCTCCCTCTCAGGTCAATTTTAAAAAGAGAAGAGGAAGAGAAGAGGAAGAAAGAGAAGAGAGAAAGAATGGAGAGAAAGAAAGGAGAGAAAGAAAATGAGAAAGAAAGAAAGAAAGAAAGAAAGAAAGAAAGAAAAGAAAAAAAAGTCATTTATTTGGACTGAGAAAGCTCAACAGCAAACCCAGAGCAATCCTCCCCCACTAAAGAAGGAAATACTCGAGATGAATGGTGAAGCAAGGCCTTTGAAAGCGGATTTAAGTACTTTTAATATTGAAATCGTGCAAATTAGCAAAAGAATTGTACCTAAAAGTGGCCTGGGCCGGCCTGCCCCTCACCCCAGCCCACTCCCAGCTAGCCCTCCGCCAGGCCAGGGGTTACTGCCTCCGGTTTGGCGGCCCGAACTCGGCCCGGGTAGGCCGAGGAAATCACTCCCTTCTCCAGGCTGACTCCCGAAGCCGAGCCCTGGAAAGCAACCCCACGCGCGCTCTGGGCGCAGCGTCCCTGCTGCTACCTCGGTGGGCTCCGCGCCCCCTGAGGTCCGTCCTGCCCCTGGCTTGCAACTGCCCCCGCAGGGGCTCTAAATAGGTCCTTTCCTCCCTGACGCCCCGAAGCTCCCAAAGAAGGCTCGGCTGGAACCGCCTGGAGCTCCAGGGGCAAGTGGGCGTCTCTGAGTTTGGGATGGGGCCAGGGCTGGGGACAAGCAGGAAACGGAGAGCCTTACCAAATTGTCCAGCTCTGGGTTGGAGGAAAAAAGAGGCTTTTCGGCGCGAACCTGTAGAAAGCAGGGAAAATCAAAATGAACCTTCAGCCCATTTAAAAGGAGAAAAACCCTGTCATAGACTAATCTGGAGTGTGGGAGCCGGGACTGTGGAGGGACGGGAGACGAGGGGAGGAGGAGAGAGCAGGGGCCTTGCTAAATTAACCCACTAAACAAACTAGTGTCTTCAAAGAGTGGCACCAGAGGAGAAAGCATCAGGGCCTTCCGGTCCTGGCCTCGTTTGGGAGCCCTGTACACTCAGTTGCAGTAGGGAAGGCCGGGCTGCTCGCGGATCCGCAGTACCAGGTTCTGCAGCGGGGCCAGATGCTGGGGCTGCCCACCTCCCGCACCTCGGCGCCGGTGTGGACCTCTCCACCAGGCTCCACGCTTCCTTAGCTCCCGGGCATTCCCAGGTCCCTCACAGCCCTTGTCCCCAATTCTTGTTCAAGTAGCTGCAGGCGGGGAAAAGGCCAAGCCCCAGATTAGGGGCAGGTCAACTTTAATTCGAGGGTCGAGCCCCTGTATTCCTGGCTGGGGGGGAAAACAAACACCCATATTTATCTCCGCTTCCAATTCGCCTCCAGGCTGTGGGATAGGGAGGAGGCGCAGAGTGCCGACTGGGCCTGAGGAACAGATCGGGTGTCCCTGCCTTTTCCTCCCCTTTCAAGTCAAGCTGGGATGAAAGGGGAGGGAGACTGAAGGGCTGCTGGAGGGTGAGCGGGTCGAGAAGGTTGGACCTGTTTGGCGAAGACTGCGATGTCCTCGTTGAAGGAGTCGGAGGAGCAGACGTCCCCGCCGGCCACTCCGGGTTCCCGGGGAGTGCAGGTCGCCAGCTCGCACTTCTCAAAGACCAGCGCTAACAGAGGAAACAACGGGTGCCTAACGGGCAGCGCCACGCAGAGACACACGCACGGAGACGGGGTGCAGAAGGGAAGGAGCAAGAACTGTAATCAACAAGTTTGGAGGGTTTGCATTCTTGCTTTAATACAACAGGCACGCATCACACTGTTCACCCTCAGTCAGCCGAGCCTGGGCCACAAACAGAAAGAAAACGTCTGGCTTTCCCCACTGAGTTCGGGGGTCCTTCTGATCTGCTCTGAGAAGCCCCTGGCCACTTTAGCCCGCCAAGTAAACACAGACTCAGTTGGGACGTAATGAAATAACCAAGAAGCCCAGACAATTTGGAGCAGGGAGTTGATCCAGACCCAACTCCCTACTCTAAAGGCGCCGAACCAGCCACCCAACCCTGACCTCCAGGAAAGGAATAGTCTTTGCATTCATTTTTTTTTTTTTTCTCGGTTGGGCGTTTTAGACCAGGCCGAGGGCTTCACTTACAAACACACCAGAGTGACATTTCCAAATTTCAGGAAAGTGTTCTAATCTCTCCACCCCCTTGCCTTATAAACTTGTTTGCTGTACTTCTAGTAAAGCCCGGGTGCTGGGGCCAAAATAATAGGAATGTTAAACATGAAAGAGCTTCTTTCCAAAGACCACATTTCTCCCAGCTTGTAGCGCACAAAAATAAATAAACTGCGTTTCAAAACTTGGAAGTGTGCGTGCCGGGCCCGTAAGCCCTTTGTGTTTCTCCCGGCGGCTTAGCTACACCTCGGGACGCTGGAGGCCTCACAGGCTTTAGGCTCAGTTGCTGTTTACCCACTGTCCCCTCCCCTCGACATCCCGCCGCCTTCCCCACCTACCCTCTGCCGGAAGAGCCCGAGTGGTACACGCTTGAACCGTGCATCCCCACCCCTCCCCGAGCTCTCCGAATATAAAATAATTTCCAGCCATCTCCCTGACTCCCCCTAAGAGCGGCTGTATGCAAGAGGCAGTCTCTTCCACCCCGCTGCACTTCAAGGTCTGCCCCTTTATTTACACAGAATTAAGAAGTGGGTGATTAGGACTTCCTGGCCCACAGAAGCTGCCCCGATTCCAGCCCAAGCTGCGTTTAGTGACTCCCAGGCCCTCAGTAGGAAGCAGAAGTAGGGAAAACAGAACAGAAAAGAAAAGAAAAAGAAAGGAGAAAAAGAAAGAAGGAAATAGGAAACAGAAGTTGCTCTTCGGCTGCAGAAAACTTTCCTCTTAGTCAAGGCCTCTGTTGGGGGCACTGAGACATCCAGCCCTGGTCTTTTGGCCGGGAATCTTGTCCTTGGGGAGAAGGCCTGGCGGCAAGATTTTGAGGACCCAGTTCTCACTCGGGACTGTAAGGTCTAAAGTGACCTGGTCATGGGAGTGGAGAAGATTCCATCTTTCTGGTCTTTGACTCATGGGACCGAAAAGCAAGCCCCCTGCACTGTCCATCTCTCCAGCAAGCGCCCCCCCCCATGCAGAAATAAGTCCCCAGTTAGCCGCCCACTCCCCCCACCCACCCCGAGACAAACACACGCTCTCACGCACACTCACACACAGTAAGCTGGGTCCGGGGATCGCTTTACCCGTAGATCGCGTCCTTGTCTCGCTTCAAGGCATCGTTGACAGCAGATCCCATGCTGGCGGGCATGACATTGGGGTGCGGGGCGTGCGCGCCGTAGTGCTGCGTGGCGTGGAGCGGTGGCCCGTGGTTCAGGTGGTGAACCGGGGGAATCGGCCGCGGCGCATGAGGGTCTCCGTACATGGAAGCGGGAACCCCTACTCCGTCCATCCCGCCGTAATGGGGTAGCTCATCGTACTGCCAGGACCCGGAGAGGAGGAGGGGGCGCAGAGGGTGAGAGGCAGAGGGTGAGAGAGAACCCAGGAGGGCAGAGGCAAGAGAGCAAAGAGACCAGAAGAGAGGAACAGAGGCGTGAGAATGGGAGAGATGAGCGGGAGTAGAATTTCAATTCCTGTATTGCAGTTACAACACAGATAATACAGAGCAAAGCATAGTGATTTACTTAAGAGCTCTATAGGATAAAGTGTGAAATCTACTACAAACAGGAGTTTGATTGGCAGTAAGTACCTTTATCTTATATAAGCACATACACAGACAGACAGATAAACATGCACGCATGTTGGTGAGAGAGAGAGAGAGAGAGAGAGAGAGAGAGAGAGAGAGAGAGAGGATAAAAACAAAGTCAGAAAGGAGAAAAGTACCGGCCACAAGTTGAACACAGTCTAACCAAACCAGCAGAAACAACCGAGCTGAAAGTTGTAGGGGGAGGGGGAAATGTGTATAAATGTTCAAGTGAAGAAGTCTGAACCAACAGCCTTGTGGAAAGAAGGGAGAGCAGGCGGCGAGGCCGTGGACGCAGGGGGCGCAGGGAGGCCCGGCTCCCGCCCGAAGCAGCAGAACCTGAGCCAACCGCCGGAGAAGTGGAGTTAGCCGGAGGAGGAAGCCCCGGCTCCCACCCCTAACCCCGCTTCGCCTCCTCCTGAAGATCCAATAAATCAAAAGGGCGAAATGAAACAAAATAAAGAGAAGGGGGTTAAAAAAGAAAAAAAAAAAACCCACGCTAATAAGACAAGAACGGCAAGGACGGAGGAAGATGGGGCCGGTGCCTCCCCGGGGGCAGGGAGCAGAGGGTGGGGAGGAATAACGTGAAAGTTACCAGAAACATTATTTAGCAGCCGATTTCCTGCGTCCTTGTCAATTTCAGAGACAAAACAAGCAGCCCAGGCTAGTCTAGGCGGCGGCGCAGAGGCTACGGCAGCGCGGCCCCAGCAGCGGCCCCGGCGGCGGCTCCTACGCAGCCGGCGCCCGCCCGAAGCCGCACGAGCAGCGGCGGCAGAGGCGCAGCAGCGGCGGCAGGAGAAGCCGGGGAATCGCGCTGCCGGGGGGGAAAAGCTGGAGCGAGGCGAAAGCGTGTAACAATTGCACACACACGCACACACACACACACACACACACACACACACACCGCTCACACGCACTCGCCGCCCGCCCGCTCGCACAGCGCTGGAACACGCGCGCCCAGACACGCACACACGCACGCACACACACTCGCACACACGCAGAGGCACGGGGGGGAAAGAAGCCGATGAATAATTTTGCTATTTTTTTTTAAATACTGGCCGCCATCATCATGCAGCGAGCAGCAGTCTGCTGGAAGGGAGAGGAGGCATGGGGCAGGCCCCTGTAGAAGCGGATTTATATCTAGGTAAGTGTTGGAGATTTAAACCTACCCTTTGCGCCATCAGTCTGCGCTCCAATAAACTCCTGGATCTGTCGTATATTTAATATCCCAGTCCGGATAAGAAAGTGATCTAGGCTGAAGATTCCTTTTTTTTTTTTTTTTCCAAACCAAAGAGACTTCTCCCAATTCTCCAATATGTTATTTTTAGGGGGATGGGGGAAGCCCAGGCAAGAAAACGAAGAATTATTTTTCCTGTGATATTTCTTCTTTTTCTTTTTTCCTCTTCTTCCTCCTCCTGATCTTCCTCCTCCTCCACCACCTCCTCCTCCTCCCCCCTCCCCTCCTCCTCCTCTTCGGTCCTCCTTTACCCCTCTTTCTCTTCTCTTCCTCTTAGTTGGGAAAAAAAGAAAGAAAAGAAAAAGAAGAAAAAGAAGAAAAAAAAATTATCAAGCCCCCGAACTGAAGGTTAGGAGCGACCCGTCAGCAGCCCACATGTAACCGAACTGTCGTGTTTCATGGCTTTTTGCCACTCCAGCTGTCAATCAAAGCCCGGAATGTCAAGGTAGTGAATGAATGATGGTTGATGATGATGAAGAGGAGGAATCTTTCAGACCGGATTTTTTTTTTCTTCCAGTAAAACTCCGCGAGGGGTTTCTGCTTCTTGAATTTTTCCTCCCCCCTCCCCCCCTCTTTTAGCTTTGCCCCGAAATAGCTCTAATATGATCCTCTCTCTTTAAAGTATTGTTCAAAGAAGTCAAGGAGAAAAAAAATCAAGAAAAAATTAATAGTTTGCAAAAATTGGACTTCCTCCCCCCCTTTCCTGGTAGGTATTTTGTCTCTCCCTCTCTCTCTTTCTCGCTCGCTCGCTCTCACTCGCGCTCGCTCTCTCGCGCTCGCTCTCTCGCGCTCTCTTTCTCTCTCTGGGAGATGAGTGAGTGTCAGTAGGTGTTGGCAGGTTGGCTGCTGCCTGGTTTATAGAAGAGCCTCAGTTTGGCGGCGCGGGTCGGCGGCGGGAGAACGAAATGACGGAACCCGGAAGTCGTGGTGGCCATAGCCCGTCGTACGGCGGAGACACATCCCGGGAGCGGGGAGCGGGAGCGAGGAGGAGCGCGCAGCGCCGAGCCTCTGATATGCAGCGAGTGCGCTCGGACGGCCCCGGTGGGGGGGCGGGGGGAGGGGAGGCTGGAGCGGAGCGGACCCGAGCAAATCAGCGAGCCTGACGCTCCGCGGGGACCGCGCGGGAGGGGGAGGAAGAGGGGAGGGAGGGGGGACGAGGGAGGGGAGAGAGAGGGAGAGGGAGACAGGGAGAGAGAGGAGAGAGGGAGGGAAAGGGAGGAGAGAGGGAGAGGAAAAGAGGGGAGAGAAGGGTGCTAAAGAGGGGAGAGAGAGACAGGAGAGAGAGAACAAGGAAGAGAGGAGAGAGGAAGAGAGAAACAGACAGACAGAGAGAGAGAATACGAGTGATTGGTGAAAAAGGGAGAGGAAAAGGCAGAGAGACCGAGAGGAAAAGGGAGGAGGACCAGGTGGACAGGGAGAGCGCTGTAAAGTACGGTACAGCCTCCAATCTTTTTCTTTTAAACTTACTTCTAGTTTATTCTCCCATCACTCCTCCTGGCTTCTGCCTAACTGGGTCGCGTTGGGATGTTTGGCATGGCGCTCTCGCTTTTGTTCCTTTTAATTCCGCCGTCCCCCTTCCTCTGCCCGCGGATTACAACGTCCAGAAGTCTTCCCGCAAACATCCCAGCGCAGCGAGCTCTGCAGACGGTACCACCGCCGGGCTAGATTTTTTTTTAAAGTGCACTTTCTTCCTTGTGCAGATGCAGGGCCCTTGTCCATATTCATTTTTCTAGTACAAGATGGGAGCAGTTTAACTTAGAGCACAGTCCCTCCTTGCGGTGCAGACAGGGGGCCACCTCCGAGAATCTGGGGCGCCTGGGCTCAATCTGGAGGGAAGAAGTGGGATGAGAGTTAGTGAGGTGGGAATTAGTGGGGTGGGAGTTGTTTGGGTGTTTGACATTGTCCGCTGTAGCCAAGTGGGGTCTCTCTCTCTCTCTCTCTCTCTCTCTCTCTCGATCGCTCGCTGTTTGTCTGAGTGTGCGCGCGCGCGCGAGCGCGCGTGACTGCTGTGCGCCTCCAAATACTTGGATCTGGGGAACACCAGAGGGGGAGATGCCCCGGGAGCGGTGGCCGGCGCTCGCTGCCCAGCTTTGTTGTGGTCGCCGCAGGCGCAGCGCGGGTCCGCAGTAAAGCGGGCTACTGGCGTGTTAATTACACCCGGCCGATTTCTCTGGGTGGGGAAGAGGAGGCCAGCTCCGAATGAACTTTTTTTCCAAAAGGAAAAGGAGGAGAGTGGGGGAAGGAAGGTAAATACCCCACACGGTTTTGGTGGAAACTTAGTTCTGGCCACTGTCCCGCCCAATCCCTGGTCGGAGTTCCAGCCGGCTTTACCTCCGAGCAGCCGTTTTCCCGGCGGCGGTACGTCAATCAATCCGAGCCGCGAGCTGGGGGCGGAGCGATGGTCACCGGGTGCGCTTCGCCTGGCTCACCCCTCCGCCACCCGGCCGCTGCCAGCGCGGCCCAGCCCCGGGCCGGGAGCGCGCCTCTCCCCAACTTCTCACCCTCGCCCCGGTTCCCAGGCCGGAGAATCTCTGACTAGGAGACGGCGGTTCAGCCGCGGCCTCCCTCCCCAACTCAGCCCTTTCCGGGCTGCAGAAAGCTGCGTCTCCTGCCGGGATGGCTTTGACCCGACTTTCCCTCAGGGGCGGGGGTGGATGGGAGTGGTTCGGAAGAGTGAAGTACTCCGTGTGTGTGTGTGTGTGTGTGTGTGTGTGTGTGTGTGTGTGAGAGAGAGAGAGAGAGAGAGAGAGAGAGAGAGAGAGAGAGATCTGGGAGGGCTCTCTTTGACCCTTTTTGCATCTTGTAGGCTTCCTAGTAAGCTTTAGAGCATCCCAAACTAGGCTAAGACCACAGCCTGCAGAGGCTCCAAGCCCAATTGGAGGAAATTTGGCCTGGTTTTCCTAGGGCTGGGGAATGAGCTCCAGAGGTCAATAAAGCCCTCCAAAAATGATGAATGATTGAGCACCTGTGATGATGATAGTGATTACCAGAGCAATTAAACAGTTTGATTAAATGAGCCATCATAACAATGATGTCTGCGGGAAATCGGCCCTCACTTATAAAGAAAGACAGTGCGGAGGGGCTGGCAGAGGCGCGGATAGCGCGCCGGGAGAGGGGCTGCGACCGGCGCGGGTTTGACCCGGGTAGCCAAAGCAGGGACGGCGGGCTCTGGTAGCTTTAGGGTTTCTGTGTTTCTCTTTGCCCGGCTTCAAGCCTGCTGGAACCGACGGGTCTGGAACCTGAAGACTGGGGAGGGTCCTTTCCCTTCCATCTCCTCCCCCCTCCCTAGAAGAACTCCAAGATTACAAATATCCTTCTCATTTGATGCTGAGTTACTCGTCGACATATAAGAAAAGGTGAGTAAACAGAAAACAAGGCTCAAAAGAAAAGGAAAAGTTGGTCTACAGAATTGTATTTCAAGGAGCAGTTACACTTATTCCGTTTAGCCGGGAAATGAAAGATGAGGGGGAAAAATGAGACTTAGAAAGAAAGGGAGGTAGAGGTAGCAAGAAAGAAAAGAGAGAAGATAGGAAAGGAGGAAGGTGGGAGAGAGAGAGAGAGAGAGAGAGAGAGAGAGAGAGAGAGAGAAATTTGGTCTGCCTGTGGAGGGTGTTTTCTACTTCACAGAGTTGTGGATAGTGCTAGGTCCAAGTTCTCGCTCCTGAGCCGCTGACTGAAAAGTTTATTCTCCGACTTTACTTCTGTAATTCTTCTTAAACTCACCATTGGGTATTTGCTACCGCCAGTATGACTACTGTTATTTTTAATTCCTCGTTAAGTTAGTGCCTGTTCGGAAGTTTTGTCTTTTTGTTGTTTTTTTCCCAAAAGAACTCCTGTTTCCTTGACAAAGGCTTCTTTTTAAAGGAGCAATTTGGTGTGAAACCTGTGCATCTCAGCTTAAGCCTGTTTTGCGCTTCTTTTGCCACCGTTTTCCCCGTGGTACTGTGAAGCAAGTTATCTCGGTAGCTTTGATTTAGAAAACCTTCAGTAGTATTAAAATAATAATAGTGTTTCTTCCCTGGCAGTTCAACTGAGGAAAAATTCAAACAGATTGATGATTTCTATATTTTAAAACACTCGTTAAGGAAATAATGGCTTGGTTATCTGGCAGTAATTTGGGGTTTTACAAAATAATAGTGTAAACTCTGTTTTATCCTGTGGGCAAAGCAGAAGGCATTTTAATTAGAAATCCCCTTCTTCCTCTTCTTTCTTTCTGTAACTTTTTCTCCCCATTATATTGAATGGATTAAAGCAAAGTCCAGGGAAATCTGATTAGATGTAGGAAGAGAAAGAAATAATATTTTAAGATATATTTTTAAAGATCATTTTTACCACGGAAGACTTTCAGTTAAGTGTAAGAGTGTAGGAAATAATGCCCTGCTGAGGTCATCCGTGTGATTTTGAAATTCACTTTCAAAAGGAGGCCTTACATTTCTTGCAACAGCAACAAAAAATTTCAGTTACCCAGTTGCATGCCATTGATGAAGCTGTTAGTTTAAAACAGCAATACTGGTGTAGTACTTTACACAGGTGATCAAATTGGAGTGGATTCCAGATCTCTTTTGATTAAGGTGATGACTTCAAAGGATTATTATAATCAACAACTTTCGGATGTTTTATTAATACAACTGCAAAGGGTTCCTCTATTTAAGAATTTCCTCTGTTTTCCACACCCCCCTCCCCATTTTCCAGTCCTATAGAAGCCTTCCGACAGCAGCGGAGTCCCTACACTTTCTCCTTTCTGCTGTACTGATGCGTTGTTTTCTGCCTGGCACTCCCACCCTGGCTGTGGGTTCATGGACGCTCCCTCATTTGAGGTGAAGGGAACTAGGTGGGGCAGCCCCAGAGACAAACAAGACATGGGGCGGGGGGAGTCCACAGGCGCCAAGCACACCTCAGTCAACAGTCAGCTCCTTCTGCCCAGGCTGGAAATGGTTTTAACAGGCGGTAAAATTTCATCTTGCGGTGTCAAATTGGGGTCATTTTGGGGTTAGAGTTCTCAGTGTCCGAGAGGAGCTGTCCAGCTGCGTGGGGACTCATTAACTGCAAAAGATCTGTTTCAGTAAAAACAATTCAAAGACAATCAGAAGGCTAAAGACTCTCTACAAATCGCATTTTACAAGTGCCCCAGAACAAATATGGTTGGTGAAACCTATTTCTTCAAGGTCCCAAATCAGCTACTTAGCTCTGGAGTGGGGGTGGGGGCACTGCATTAAAAAAGAGGTGAAAGGGAGGGGACCAGAGGGTGGGGGGTGAATGAGAAGGAGAATTGGGCCTCTCAAATTTAAGAGTCTGTTTTTAATCACCCCTTTCTTATTGAAGCATCCCCGACTTCTGAAAAGCGCTCCTTTTCTATTTCTTCTTTTGATCCTTCCTAGAATGTTACTATAGGTAACATTTAGAATTAAAAGGAATAATATAACCCCCATAGTTCTTTAGTGTAAAGGCATTGGCTTTAGGGTGGGGAGTTAATTTGAAGTAGCATTTATAAACTCAGACTTAATTCTAACTGAATTTATTCATACTCTTTGAGGCGGTCATTTGACCATTTCTTTTTTTATCTAATCCCTCTCTAGAAAATTCTAGATCCTCTGCAAAAATAATTCTAAATTCCTCAGAACTGTGAGATCCCGTCAAGTGTTAATCTGTGTATTAAAATCATCAGATTTAAATCCCTTTTGTCTTCTTACAACAGTTAGAACAATTGATGCTTTGCTATAAGAGCAAGTAAATCCAGCCTTAATCTTGTTTGTAACTTTAGTTACTGTTTTGATTTGGAATATTTTATAATAAGGAGACTTTTTATTTAAAAAAATCTTTTTTTTTCTTTTTTTTTGAGAGGTTCTGTTTTTCAGTTTGGAAGAAAGAACTGTTTCTCTGGTTTAAAAGGGATTCCTTTAAGTCAAAGGAAAGTTCAGTGTTAAAATAAGAAGCTAGACATGTGAACTGCCAGAGATTTCAGGACAAAAGCAAATGCAGCACTTAAAGTTTCATATGAAGGAAGTTTGTTTTCTTGTATAACGGAACCAAGCAAGAAAAAGGGCTAAAAATATGCAGTCATCTCACTCTTCTCTCTCTGGACTCCACTTCTGTTCCCATGTTTTCTTTCTCCATCTACACTACTTTTCTTTGGGTTCTGAACAAGACTGAGTTTTTGAGGTCTATCTCTTTTCTTAAAGCTTCCCAGGGTGTTTATAAATTGTTCTCCAAGGAGTTTGCAGCCCTGCAGAAACAGCTCAGAGCCGAGTATTGGGACAAAGGCAGAGGGGGCTGTCTTCTGCCCTAGTCCTGCTTGCTGACAGTTGGAATTTTTGATATATATTTTATTTGGCGTTTCCAATAACGTGTTTGTCCCCCATCCCACCCATTGGAGCCATTTATTACTTTTCAAACATCTCTTCTCCGCAAACCTCTGCTCATCCTTATGAACTGTTTTTGACCTTCCCAGCAGTGTGACTGAGAAGTTAGACTAGGAAGAATTCTGCTTGCTTCCTACCTGTTTACTTGGTTCATTCTTTCCTGGCTTCTGGTATCAACAGAGGGAAGGTACTTTTCCCCTACCACCACCCCTTCTTGGTTTTTGCTTTTATTTGGGGTTTATTTTTAGTTATTTATTTATTTTTGCTTTTTTTACACATTGACGCACTAACATAGATGTTTCTTCCTGAAAATAATACCAATAAATCAACCTGTGATTTTTTTTTTTTAATAGGATGGAGTGGAATCGCTGCATTTTCTTTGCATTTGCCTTGTCTTGTATCTCCCAATTTTCGGCGTTTCCCTGGGTCTCGGAAGGAAAGGATTTCAATAAATAGCCCTCTAGCGCTATCTGGCGGGGCTCCAAACGCGCGGAGCGCTCTCTGACGCTGTCAGTTCTTCCCGCGCGGTCTTGTTTCCTCTCTTTCTTCCTGTCTCTTCTTCTATCTCTCTCCTCTTCTGCTGTCTCCCATTTCCACCTCCCTCTTTCCTCCTTCTGTCCCTTTTTCTGGTTTTTAACCGCGGTTTCCAGTGCATACGGTAGACTTGGCGCCGGCCAGAGCTTTTTTAGCTTTTGCATGTAGGTGATAGCCTGGCCACCGAGCCCTAGCAGAGTTTCCAGTCCTGACCCAGTGTGGCTCACATCTATCCTTTGCCTTTGATTAGCACCTTAGCGGACACGAAACTTGTCCCAGTGTCCCCCAGTGCCTCATCGGATGGTGTTTTGGGGGGACTTAAAACTACATTTGTGAAGTTTACTGGAACGAAACGGGACAGTGGGATCCCTCGCTAGTGAAGCGCTGCTAAGTTTGAGGTCAGAAGGCCGGTCGTCATGCAAGTCGTGGACGGCTCCCGCTTCCCGGGGGGTGAGACAGCATTGCGCCGGGCCAGGCCTTATCCAGAGACTTCGGCCGCGGGCGGAACGTGTCCCGAGGGCCGCTTGGGTTCCATCTCTCCCAATGGACCGTCCTAGTCTGCAGTCCGCATCCTGGGCCTGCCCATTTTCTCTTTGTCGGTTAACCAGCTTTATTTCCTGCACCCACATCACACACACACACACACACACACACACACACACACACACACACACATTTGGCGTGTTAAAGTGGGATCGGAAAGCTTCCTAGAAACCCTCAGATCTGCAGGAGCCAACACTCCCTGCGGGAGAAAGCCGGTGGTTCGGTATGGGAGTCGCTGGGATCCTCCTGTTTTCGTGGGTGGCCCCTGCACTCCAGTAACCTGTAAACATTCAGGGGTGTGAGGGAAGGCCAGAGGAGGCTGAGACCAAAGCAGACATTCAATTCAACTCCCACTAGGTGCTTTGGATAGACCCCCGGCTACCGACCTTCCTTAGTTTTAGAATATTTCTCTCTCTCTCTCTCTCTCTCTCTCTCTCTCTCTCTCTCTCTCTCTCTCTCTTTCCTCCCCCTCCCACCCTCTTTTTTCTCCTTTACTCTCTCGCACACTCAGCCTAAGAGAAATCTCCAGTCTTCGCTTTGAGCAACAGTCTTCCACTTACTTGAAACGGAGACACATGTGGCTTGAGCAGAGTTATGACTGTATTTCCTAAAATTCAGTGGTAACTCAGAAAAGCAGAAGTAAGCTCAGATCCCCAGTACATACCTGGAGGTGGCTACTAAAGATGACAGGACTGTGCCTGGTAACTTCTCAGGCGAAGAAGGGCTCTCAAATCTGAATTTCTTCATACAAAAACGGCAAAAACAGAATGGAAAGGGGCAGACACTTCCCTTCACCCCTCTGCTGGGGGGAAGAAGGCACATTTTGGGTGTAATTAATTGAAGACTGTTATTAGGTCATCATTAGCCAAGGTGCAAATAATTGCTGCCCATTTTTACTTAAAATTGTCTGGCCTGAGAGTGATAGATCGATTCAGAGTATAAAAATGATGTATCAAAACATCAATGTCGATTATTTGAAATATTGTAGTCGAATTTTTTTTATTGCTTCATCGGTTAAGTGTCTGAAAGTGCAGCGTTCAAACATATATTTATGTTCTCAATACTGTCAGAACTGTCAGTTTTACTATACGGGATTTGTACTACATTTCAAATTTGCTCATTTGCATAAAATGCCCACCCCGATTTCCCCCCACCCCCACCCCCACCCCATCTCTAGAAAATCCCTGTCAGTTCTTCAAAGGATTTAGCAATCTTTGCCTAAGCTAAAATGGGCACCGCCTCTTTTACTCAGTTTTCTAGGACAGATCATGCGTCTTTTTTTTTTTTTTTTTTTTTTTTATCATTTCAAACTTTCTAAGAGGTACTTCCTCCTTTCTGCCCAACTACGCCTATCCTAACCTCTCCTACAATATAATATTAGGGCAATACACAGTCTATAACATATATTACAAAGAAGATTCCTTCAGATCTTCTTGGTCACCTTCAGGTAAACCCTAACTCCACCAGGAGAGAATTTCCGGGTCCACCATCAAATTACCTGGAAGAGTGAAGTCTTTCAAAGAAAATGAATGTGGAAATAAAAAATACCTTTTCTTTTTTACTTAAAAGCCGTGAAAGTAGAAAAGGAAATAATACACATAAATGATCACACGTTTTACCTTTAAAAGCTTTTTGAATTCAATCGAAAGACACAGGTTGGAAGCAGAATTGACAGTTTTAATTCCACCCATTTTCACCTGGCACGGGAGATCAGAGGCAGTCATTTATTTTATGGGGTGGGGATTGGAAAGGCAGATAGGTGAATTCGCTTGTCTCTATCCTAAAAATTCCAGAAAAATTAAATTCTCTTATTGAAATGTAATCATTCCTTCCCTTGATACTAGTCTAGACTAATTGAAATTCATAAATTCACATTCTGCCTAATTTTTTGCTTTTTATTTTTTCCCCAGGATTCCAGCCCAGTCTTATAGGAAAAACAGGACCATTGCTGCAATCGCTGCGAGGATGTGATTTTGTTTCTGTAAGGCTTAAAGCGCTTTTCATTATCCTTTTAATGTATTTAAATAGGCCTGTTTGGACACTCAAAGAAGCTACCAACACAAAGATGGTTTGGCCGTCAATCCCAGCATTAAAAAAAAAAAAAATCTGAGACGTTTTTACATACCCATCCTTGCCTTAAATAAATACATAAATAAATAGTGCAAGGCAAAAGAAAGTTTGCAGTTTGCCTCTGCGCCTCTTGGTGTGCGCATCTATAAACATCTTCGCGTCCGTGTTTGCGCGGAACCTCCCTCCCCACACTCTCAAAAGCAGAGCATCCAGGGATCGCCCCCAGAGAGCTGTGTTTACGTAGTTTTTTTTTTTTTTTTAAATCTCTCCGCCATGTATGACAAGTGTTACTTCAAGAAATTCATCAGCCTTCTCCAGATACTTCCAGTTTTGCCGTCATGATCTGCAGAAGAAAACTGCCATCACTTTCTCACATCTCAAGGTGTTGCAGGAACTCGGAAGGGAGAGTGGTTGCCTCGCTTAATTACCAAGGGGAGGGCGGAGCACCTCGAGGGACGCTGGGCAGGTCTGGGGAGGAAAGGTGCGTGGCCAGGTGGGCACTTGCTGGGGTCGCCAGTAGGAGAATATTTGGACAAGGTATGATTGCCTCTTTTTTTTTTTTTTCTTTCCCTCTCCCAGTGCCTTTGGGGAGAAGTGATACCCTCGTGTAACAATTAGCTCAGACAATAAAAATAATTGGAAAATCAGTCGGAATTTCTGAGTTTTTAATTACGTTTAATTTTGCACTAAGCCGTAAAATTACGAATGCCCCTCAATTAAACACTTTCCTCTTGTAAAGCGTTTAACAACAATTATTCCTTAATCAGTCTGAATGTGAGTCACAAATGGTGCTTTTCCACATCAAAAGGACGTCCTTCCACCTTACCTTTTAGTCATAAGAGGATTAATTCCTGTAATTAGAGGGATAAATATGTGCATAAATATATCTCTCACTCCCTCCTTAAAAAAAAAAAAGCAACAAAACACTTTCACTGTGTGCGAGACGTGGTGGGCGCAGGAAGGGGAAGTGTTGCTGATGCTGATGGTAGGTTTGCGTTGACAAACCTTTGCGTACAGGCGATGGGAATCCGGGGCCGCAAGGGCGCATCCTGGTTCCGGAAGGACGCGCGCACCCAAGCTCAGGGACGCGCTTTGGTCAGGGCCCTGATCTAATTCTGGGGCCCCCAGGACGCTCCTGACTCCCGCAGCTCAATCCTTGCAGACCTCAACCCAACCTCCCACCCTCACTCTTCAGTGCAACAAGACTTTCTGGTCTGTCCTCCGGTCTCCAGGAGTGGAGGTCTCTGCGCTAACCCAAGCTCTAGCTTTGACTCTAGAAGCTAGAGGCTGCAAATGAAAATTGAGCATGACCTTTTAAAACTCCAGTGTGAATATCTCATTTACCTAATGACTTTATGTCACCTAGGAAGAAGGTCAATTTCCTCTTAACCTTTCCCCTGCTGCTGCAGTAAGCATTCTTCCCTAATCAATGGTGGCTCGAATGATCAATTCCCATTTTATGATCGCTGACAAAGTCAGGCGCGGGGTGGAGTGAGACTGTGCGGCTCTGCCGGGACAGGGTCTGTGTGTCCGCCCAGCTCCTCCCGGCGCCGAGGGAAGCTCTCTCTCTTCAGTAGAGTTCAGAGACCTTGGCAAACTTCCCTCCCCCACCCGCTGGCGTGACTTCTGAGATGTCACTAATCCCAACCTGATATTCACCAGAGCCCCTTTGGTCCGCAACGACGCTCCCTGCGGCTGCCGCCCAGACCCCCCCCCCCCCCCACGCCTCTCCTCACTGGCTTTCATTTCAGTCTTCTGGCAGGATGGCCCGACCCTAAAAGAAGGCGTGTTACTTTTATTTATTTTTTTTTATTAAAAAAAAATCTGCGGTGTTCAGTGCGGAGTTCTCAGCCCCTTTTTTCGGTCTCTGCCGGTTAACTTCACATAAACAAAGCAATAACAAAAGCCCAAGGGCCGGTGGATTCAAACAGGAGGTTGGAAGTGAGTGGCACTCAGCAGCCCCCTCTCTCTCTCTCTCTCTCTCTCTCTCTCTCTCTTCCCTCCCTCCCTCCCTCTCTCTCTCCCCCTCCCTCTCTCTCTCTCCTCCTCTCTCTGTCTCTTTCTCCCTCCCACCCTCCCTCGACCCACAATACTGGGCTTACCCTAAACGACATGTTGATCACTTTGCCTCTATTTAAGTTCTCCCAAGCCTTCCCTGGACTGAAGGAAAGACTAAGTAAATTATTAAATCATAGCTAATTTGGGGTAAGTTCAATGCTCTTCGTCTTTATGGGGGTCTCAACGTGATCCCCTCCCTGTTCCAATCCCTCCGGTAACTTTCACATATGCCCCGGGGTTGTTTGGAGAAGAGATTTCTTAACACTGGCTCTCCACAGATAACCTGGGAAATCTTTTTCCTTATCCCCCACTAACCCCTGTTTCACCAACTTCCAGGGCCTGCAGGAGCTACCATTATCCAACAGTCTAAAAAATCCTGCATAGCTGGCATTCAATGGCAGGAAATTCACTGTTCTAGGAAAACCATGTCCTGTAGGCAGGGTTTGGGGCGATTTCCTCTGAAGAGTCAATCTCCCAGTTTTGTACTGACCAGCTAGTTCAAACTGAAACTTTCACCCTGTAGGTTTCTATTGGGTCTGCTCTCCTTATAGAGACAGCAGGAAAGAGAGTATAAATTACCCTGTTTCTTACTCTAAATATCTCATTACTTGTGGGCAGGTATTCTGCTAAAATTTGGAAGTTATAATGGAAATGTAATTCTCTCTCCTTTTAATCCACCCATTCTGATGTCAGAAACAAACAGAAGAAAGTGAGGAGTTCAAGGTGAATCATTATTCACAGCAGCCCTGTTCCTCTCTTCCTCTCACAGTGGCTAACCCTGTTATCAGGTGAACGCCAGGAAGCTCAGGGTCCACTCTTGCTTGGCTCAGGCCCATGGTTGTAGCCACCCAGCTGCAGCCAGAACAAGCCAGGCTCAGGAACTGACCTGGGGGAGGAAGTACCTAGTTACTAGTCTTTCTGCTTGTCTTGATCTGTACCAGGAAATACTTTTGCAAGTCTTGGTGAGTTGAATTCTGCATTTAAATGGGTATGAAGGCTGGTAAATCCTCAGCTCAGTTTGTAACACTGGCTTTTAGAAGACTTGTCTCGTATTTCCAGACTTTGTTGAACTGCAACCTGTTTGTAGGTCAGGAAGTGCTTGTACGGGAAGTTTCCCATTACTAACAGTTCTGAGTGGGACTTTTATCTCTATTTGACAGAGGAGCAGACAGATTGGGGATGGGCCTCTTGACCTCAGATAATTACCACAGTCTTCCCTCTTCAACAAATTTAATTCTCACATGAAGAGTAATTAACAACCTCTGATTATTCATTCTAAGAATTTCCTTTACTTATCTTAATAGCATTCATAAGGCTATTGAAGAGTATGTTTAATAGTAATTTCTGGTTTTATTTCATTTAAACATCTTGCATTCCTCCCATTTCTTCCCCAGTCTCCTGGAACACATTTAACATAGACTTGAGCTGAATTCTAACCCAGTGTGTGCAATAGACAATTCAGTCACCAGCTTATTTCTCTTCCTGTTCCCTACCCCTGGTCCAGAGCAAAACTACTTAGTAGAACCCTTACCCATAGGGGCACATCCCAAGATGCCCAGCAGATGCCTGAAACTAAAAATACGTATTTTGTTTTTTTCCTGTATACACTTATTTATGATAAAGATTAATTTATAAATTAAGCAATTATAAGAGAGTAACTACTATAACAAAATAGAACAATTATAAAAATATGCTGTAGCAAAGATTCTTAAAACTTATGAATTGAGGGGCTGGAGAGCTGGCTTAGCAGTTAAGAGCACTGGTTGCCCTTCCAGAGGTCAAGGGTTCTGCTCCCAGCATGTACAGGGATGCCAACAACTGTCAATAACTCCAGTTCCAGATCTGAAGAGCTCCTCTGACCTCCCTGGGCATTGTTTGGCATGGGTGCATTTACATATATGCAGGTAAAGCACTCATACACATAAAATAAAAATGATAGATAAAATATTTTAAAAACATGAATTACTTCTTGATTTTCTATTTAATGACTTGGGACTGTGGTTTACCATGGGTAATTGAAACTGCAGGAAGTAAACCCTTAAATAAGGGGGTACTGATATATATTAGACTACTCCTTGGAAAAGGAGAATCCTTTAAAATTGCTTAATTAGGGGAGCACATCAGAAAAATGAATTAACAGTAAATATATAGTCCTCTTCCTTTGTCCTTACCAGCATCTCGTTTGGTGTTATAAATAAAAAATTATGTGTCAGGATGCCAGCTACCATCCTAGAGTGGAAAAAGCACCCACACAGACCACTAGCTTTTTAAAGGTGGCCGAGGTCTTTGCAAAGCACATGCCCCCACATAGAGAGACATCTTATTCAAACATCTCCAAGGGCGAGGGTGGAATCCTATCACTTCTGAGGTTGTTTTGAACCCTAGAAGGACAAAAAGGAACTTCAGGGACTGAGGTGACTCAGAAGCCCTGGTTCTAGAATGTGATTGACAGGCTAGATCTTTGGTCTGCCCTCAGCTGATTGTATATTCTTAAGTTACCCAAGGGCTTTTTAAATTTAAATTGAGACATAATACTTGTACATCTTTATGGGGTTCAGTATCATAATTTGATATATGTCTACAATCCAGAACGATCAAATCAGGGTAATAAGCACTTTCATGTCATCAAGCATTAATCATTTCTGTGTGCTGAGAACTTTCATGCTCATAGTTACACTGAAATATATCATAGATTGCTGTAACCAATAGTTAGTTATCCTACTGTGCTACAGAGAAAAGTTAATTCCTTCTATGTAATTGTGCTTTGGTTCTCTATCTGATTTCTTTCCATTACCTCTCCCTCTGCCCTTTTCAGGGTCCAGTGACTACCATTTTACTCGATTCTTCCATGAGACAAACATTTTCATTTCCAAGGATAAAAATGTGTAGTTTTTATCTTTCTGTGTCCAGCTTATTTCACTTAGCATAATGACCTCCAGTTCCAGTCATGTTGTTACAAATGACAGAATTTCTTTCTTTTCTTAAGGAATAATATTCATACACAGAACACACACAGCATTTCACAGTATCTCACATTTTCTTTAGCTGTTCATCCATTGATGGACACCTTGTTTGATCTGATAGCTTGGCTATTGTGCACAGTATTGCAGTAAATATGGCAGTACAGGTGACTTTGCTGTAGTGATTTCATTTCCTTTGAATACTCAGTCGTGGAATTACTAAATGATATGGAAATTATACTTTCAGTTTTTAAAGAAATCATTATCCCGTTTTCCATAATGATTATGTTAATATACATTCCCACCAACAGTGTGTAAGTGTTTCTCTTTCTCTCTGTCTTTGTCAACATTTGGTATATTAAAAATTTTTTTTGAGACAATGTCTCCCTGTTCCCCTGTTCCAAGCTGGCTTGGAATGGTGCTATGTAGACCAGGCTGGCCTTAGCCTGTTAGAAATGGGCCTGACTCTGCCTCCCTAGTGCTGGGATTAAAGGCATGTGCCACCACACCCAGCTTAATAATTTTTTTTTTTGAAACAGAGTCTCAGTATGTAGCCCTGGTTAGCCTGGAACTCATTATGTAGATGAGGCTGGCCTCAAATTCATGGATTTCCACTTACCTCTGCCTCC